CCAGGGCAGCGGTTAGAAGCTGCTGAGCAAATGTTAGAACAGGAAAAGGCTACAGTCATGGCTGCTGCTGTGAGCGCAGCAGTTAAGCCGCTGATACCAAAAAAGGAGGGAACCCTACTTTGTGATGCACATTTGTAGCCATCAGTTTGATCAAGGCTTGTCGATCGGAAACAAACATACCAGACAAGCTAGTTGCTACTGCTTGGAAAAATCAGAATGTCAACCTGTTTGAGCAGGCCCGTTCATCTCATCATTTTTTACATCAATCTGCTAAAGTGTTGGCAAAGCAGTTTAATTTAAAGCTGTCAGATGCCCGAGGCATTGTGCAATCATGTCCTGCTTGTCAAAAATCAGGATTTGGTCTAGGTCTTGGGGTAAACCTTTGGGGCTTAGGGGCCTTGCAGTTATGGCAAATGGACGTTACCCGTATTGCAGAATTTGGACATCAGAAGTATGTGCATGTCAGCATTGACACCTATTCACATGCGATGTGGGCCACTGCTCAAACAGGGGAAACAGCCAAACATGTTGTGAAGCACATGCATGCTGCCATTGCCGCATTAGGAACTCCTCAAGAAATCAAAACTGACAATGGTCCTGCATACGCTTCACGGACGTTTGAACGCTTTTGCCAACTGTGGGGCATTCACCGAGTAACCGGCATCCCCCACTCCCCTACATGGCAGGCCATTGTGGAGCGTGCTCATGCCACCTTAAAATCACTATTGCAAAAACAAAAAGGGGGAGAACTGGCATCTTCTGAAAGGCTTGCAAAAGCGCTTTATGTGCTAAATTATTTGAGGTTGACAGGAGACCACGAATCTCCTCCAATTGTAATCCATTGTGGAGCGTGCTCATGCCACCTTAAAATCACTATTGCAAAAACAAAAAGGGGGAGAACTGGCATCTTCTGAAAGGCTTGCAAAAGCGCTTTATGTGCTAAATTATTTGAGGTTGACAGGAGACCACGAATCTCCTCCAATTGTAATTCACCACATGTCATTGCAATCTGGACTGCAAAAAAGTGACTCAGTGAAGGTGCAGTACCGGGATTTAAAAACTGGGGAATGGAAAGGCCCGGCAGAAGTAAAAATGACCGGTCGAGGTTATGTTTGTATTTTGACAGACGAAGGACCGCGGTGGGTTCCAAGTTGATGGGTGAAACCATGGAAAGAAGACAGGATAGAAGGAAACCAGGAAAGAAGACAGCAGGATACATCACCATAGCCCTCCTGACGCTGGTAACTGGGTGGGTCGGTGTGACTGCAGAGTTATATCACATTGACCCCAGACCAAACATGTGGCTGACATTTGCCAACGTTACAAACCAATCATCATTTTGTGTGTCGATGGCTACTCCTGCTGATCCTTTCCGTACATGTTTGATTGGTACTCCCTATTGGAATCCGGATGACTGGAAAGGATGGGTTAGTAATGAAACTGTCTTGAATGAGACAGTGGTGAATCAAACATGCCATCTACAAATGAATTGCACAATGCTACAGAAACCGGTGTGTTGTTTGGGGAATACCAACCAAACTGGAGTAGCTGCAGCATTGGTGATTCTGCATTTAAATCACAGTTTGCCTTGGGATCCACAGGAGTTAGATCTATTGAGGTCCTTAAATGGTTCAGGGTCATGTTTTGTGTTGGGAGGTCCCCTTATGACAGGAATAGAAGTATATAAAACTTGGAATATGGGTCACTGGACCAATGTGACCAGTAAGGCGATTGATGCCCAGGGAAAACCTGTATATACTTATCAGAGCCAAGTAGATTATTGTAATGGAGCAGTGGGAGCAGAAACCAGAGGGTCAAAGATGCCCCTATGGGTGAATGACACAGCCAAGGCCATACCCCCGGGATACTTTTTAATTTGTGGAGATCGAGCCTGGCCAGGAGTACCAAAAAGGGCAATAGGAGGACCATGTTATTTTGGAAAATTGATGTTTGCTCCATCTGTGAAAACATTGAAGAGTCATACTCAATCAGCGAGGTTGCTAAAATTATTAACTCCTTAATGTGATGGCAATTTAACCTTGTTCAGTCGTGTTGAACGAGTGATGTTGTCTTTATTTGTTCCTTGGGCATTGGCTGCAAAAGCTTTAACCGATATAAATAAATTAGCTTGTTGGGCACAAAACCAAATGAATTTAACCTCTAGCATGTTATCAGAATTGTTAGAAGACATGGATAGTATGTGTCATGCTATTTTGCAGAATCATGCAACCATTGATTTTTTGTTATTAGCACATGGACATGGATGTGAAGATTTTGAAGGCATGTGTTGTATGAACATTTCTGATCACTCTAAGTCAGTACACGCTCAGCTGGCAGAGTTACGACACAACATGAAAGCAATACAAGTTGAAAATGGGCTAACGGACTGGTTGAAGTCCTTAGGGATTACGGGTTGGCTGAAAGATTTGATAATACATGGGTTGGTGTTATTGATAGGCTTGTTGTTGACCATAATGGTATTGGGGTGTGTTTTAAAATGTTTTATGAAAACCGTAGAACGTATGGTGGCAGGAGTCTGGATTGTTCAAAAACAAAAAGGGGGATTTGTGGGATATCTGGAGAGTCAAGGACACTTAATGAACAATCCAGACAGAATGGACTTGTTACGCTTGTGAGCAGTAAGCCTCAAGGACATTGTGAAGGCCACCTGCAGTCAGAAAGTGATGAAAACAACCTTGAAAAGAGGAAGAAAAGTTGTTGTACGTGACTGAAATCAGAAAGCAAAGCAGGATGTAGGCGGAGAGGACCGTGTGCATGGACAAGAGACTTTAACGAACCATATTGTAGCTAAGAGCGCGTGTACAGATATAGTTAACCAATTAGTAAAGAGCTTGTGCATGATAAGGGCTATATTAACCGGGATGTATCAACAATAAATTGGCATTTGGTTGATCACATTGATCGTGTGCAGTGTCTGTGACTTCTATGTCGATATCATGGGACTCTGTGGGCTGGAAGGGACCATTGGAGGCCATCTGGCCCAACCTCAGAGCAGGTCTGGTTATAGCAGGTAGCTCAGGGCCATGTCGTGTTGTGTTTTGAATCTCTCTGAGGATGGATATTTCAGAACCTGCCTGGCTCCCTGTTCTGCTGTCTGACTGCCCTTATAATGAAAACATTCTTCCTTATATCACACCAGAATTTCCCTTTTCACCACTGCCTCTCATGCTCTCACTATACTATAGAAGACCGTCAAAGGTCTTGCTGAAGGCAAGGTAAACATCCATTCCTCACCCACGCTGTCAGTCGTCTCCTCAGAGAAGGAAATCAGGTTTGTCAGGCACAGTCTGCCATTAGTAATTCCATATTGGCTCCCAATCACCTTCTTGTCCTTCATGTCGCTGGAAGTGAGTTCCAAGAAGATTGGTTCCCCAAGGACTGAGGTCAGGCTGAGCAGCCTATAGTTCCCTGGATCGTCCTTCTTGCCCACCATCTTTCCAAGACAGAGTTTTCGCTAAAGGATG